GTCACGCGCTTGAGGTATTCGGCCAATCACAACGCATTGGATAGCTGGCCAATCAGAGCACACCTCGCTTTTTCAGATCGATGAGCTTTGTAAAAATCGACGCGTTTCAGAAGGCGGGGCATAGAGGAGAAACAATAATGTACAGTATGTGGAAAATAATGTGTTTTTTTAACTTTAAACCGCATAAACACATTTCATTACACCAAATACACCAAATAATGTTCTTTTTAGCAGCATCATATGACCCGTTTAAATTTTGATCTACAAATTCTTTATGATGTTGAAATATTCAACAAGTTATTTCCAATCCTCTAATTTGAATATCAAGATACAGAAGCTTAACAGATGCTCTGTAATTTATCATGACTTTACAGTTGCTTACATTTAAATATAAGACTAGAAATAAAGCTCCCTTCAGTTCACCATATACTTTATTATCTACATTTGTTTTCGAATGTAAATACGCTGGTTTTGGCGAAAAAGACTTTTATTTTGGTATGTTGGTGTGACGTCATGAGGCTGCGCCGCGCTCCTGCGTCTGTGATTCGGCTGAAGAAAAGTGAGTGCTTTCATCCATTAAAGTGTTTTAGTCAATACAACCCGTTTAGAGAATTTAAATATTATCTAATGTAACACTTTGGTGCTTTATCTATCTAACAGACATTAATGAAGGATATTTTCTATTATGTAAAAGCGCTCCCGCACATGATTAACAGAAACGGTGCGTCTCATTTCGCTCCCAATTTCGTGAATCAGTTTATCATAAACACGAATTCAGTCACTGGCAACTAGTGATGCAGAAACGGAGCTTTTTTAAACTCCGAGTCAACTGAATCAACTGCATCGCAAAATGATTCGAAGTTTTGAATCGCTCGAATCTGCTGCTCAAAACGGTGTAAATGCAACGACAACAACAAACAAAAACGTGTAAGTTAGCGACAACTTTTTCAAAACAACTGCAAATGTTTTCATGAAAGTAGAATCTAATTGAATATAACCTACAAATCAGTAAATACCAGATATAAATCTTTATACAACACTTGTATATCATTTGCGTTCTGAGTGCTAGTTTTTGTTGTTTTTGTCTTGTCAGGTGATTTAAGGCCATTATCTCTCACTCTGTCTGTGAATGCCAAGACAGTGCAAAACTATACACACACATACACAAACTATACACACATACATACATACATACAATGTAAGAAACATAATAATAAAAACTATGCTGCAGTAGTAGGAATATAGACTATGAAAAAATAGAAATATAGACTGTGCATCTATATATGCGAAATATAGAAATATAGAATGTGAAAATAGAAATAGACTGTATATGGTATCTAAATATGCGAATGTACAGTATTGACTTATGTGCAAAACACAATAGTGCAGTAACGTGCAAATTGAGTGCAACTACATGATAACAATAGCAACAGATTGAGATGAGGCTACATGAGTAATATTAACAAATATAAAATGGTAGCAATAACATTACAAATGTTCAAATGAGATGAAACAATTTGGACCGACTGTTCTCTGAGATAGATAAGTCCACTAGCTAGCTACCTGTTTAAGAGTCTAATAGCTGAGGGGAAGAAGGAGTTCCTTAATCAAAAGGTACGCCCAACGTGGGGTGGGGTAAGCGATTTCTGGTAGCCAATGTTGACATTTGAAAT